GAGAGGAGACGCCCACGGAGCCCCGCAGGAAGTCGGGACGGGGTGTGCCGGCCGCACCCGGGCGGCGGCGCGATGGGTCGGGGCGCTGGCCCGCGGCGCCAAGTGCCCCCTGGCCTTGGGGGAGGTCACCCAGATGCCTGTGCGCAGCGAGGCGGCATCGCTTTGGGCCGCCGCACAGCGGAAGGTAAGGAACCGCATCAGCATCCCTTTGACAGATGGGAAACGACTGTCGGATTACAGCATCGGGCCCAATTCCAAGCTCAATCTAGTGGTCAAGCCCCTGGAGAAGGTGTTGCTGGAAGAAGGTGCTGCCCGGAGACTGGCCGACTCCCCACCTCCGCAAGTCTGGCAGCTGATCTCTAGAGTCTTGGCCCGCCACTTCAGCGCAGCAGATGCCAGCAGGGTCCTGGAGCAACTACAGAGGGTGAGAAGGGTGACCTTGGATACCCGGTGTCCAGTCCCAGCTGCTCCCAACCCCTGCCCTTGCCACCACGTCCCCTGCCCCCCACACTCCCTGAATCTCCCCCCTGCAGGATTATGAGAGGTCCCTGAGCCGCCTGACACTGGACGACATCGAACGCCTGGCCAGCCGCTTCCTGCACCCTGAAGTGACCGAGGCTCCAGAGAAGGGATTTTCCAAATAGCACTGTGGGAGCATGGGGAGGAGCCCCAGACCAGGCCACAGCTGCATGTTGCATTAAATCTATTCTCACGTTGTGGTTTGCCTCATGATCATAGTCACAGCTGGCATGTACCCGGCTGTTGCTCAGTGCTGGGCACGACTCAGGGCACTTGATGTGGGTCTTTCTCCCACACCCGCAGAAGAGGTGAGGCCGCATGGCGGAGACACCTGGCCGTGAACTGGGGGAGCCAGGTTCCAAGTCCAGCCAGCTTCTAGAAGTGCCTCAGTGTGAGAAAGAGAAGCAGGCTGTCTGGAGGGATGGGCTTTAGTATGTCACGTCTAGCCCTCTGGGAATAAACCCGTAAGTAATCCCCCCCCAAGCCTGAAAGGGAAGCAGCTGTCACCTGACCTCTGGCGGTTCTGGCATAGCCCTCAGCCAGTCTCCCCAGGAGGCCAAGTGACTGCCAACCCAGGGACCCCTTAGCTGCTGCAGCCATTGTGCATTTGACAAAAGGAAAGGCAGATTGGGCGCTGGGGAGCTGGAAAGTCACCCCCGTTCTGTGATGTGACTTCAGGCATGTCTCTGTACCACTTCAGTCCCCAACTGCTGACTCTGTACAGTGAGGACCACTCCTTGGACCTGAGTCATTTTGCTCCGTCCTTACCCCAGCCCAGGGTGGGGAGTTTCTGCAGTGATACCCCCTTGTGTCCCATTAAACAAACAAGCCAAAAGTGAAACGATGGCCAAGCATGGCCCAGAGATGGGGTGTCCTAGCCCTTGGGGGCACAGCGCTCCTCTGGAGCACCCTGTCTGCATGTCCCCTCCTGGAAGCATTAGGGCTGACAGGTGACTCAGCAGGATGGTGTCAGAGCTGAGGCGGGCCTCAGCCTCCATGCCTGGCGCTCACCCGCGTGTGGACAACGAACACTTGCCCTGCTGCCTGGGTTCAGGAGCTCTGCTTTGTGTACTTGTTGCCTGGAAGGAAGCCTTGGGGTGCCAGGGAGGGTGCCGGAGCATGAGCCAGGTGGCACTGGTTCCTTCTTCACCCTGAGCAGTCCATGCACCCTAGAGGTTGTCTAAACACCTGATCCTTGGAGGAGGGCTCCCAGGGTGGTAGAGGCTGGAAGAGGCCACCGTTCTCAGTGTGGTCAGGGCCTCGCCTGCCTTCTCTGCCCAAGGCCCTCCTGCCTGGGCCTTGTGGGGCCAGTACTGGATCCCCAGGCTTGAAAGAGGTCCCAGGAGCAAGGGCTTTGAAGAGCAGACAAAAGCTCCGGGCCCTCCCTGGGAGCTAGGAACATCACACAGCAGGGCCCCACTTAGCATATGGCCAGAGATCCGTGCTGCCACAGCAGTGTTCTTGCTTGTGTTGAGTTAGGAGATTCATCTTAGAAACTTAGCACTTGAGGTGAATGGGAGACGTTTGCTTTTATCCAAATGCAATGATATTAGCTAGGCTGCTTTCGGTTTCCGATTGTTGGTTTAACAATAAAGGAAATTGGTTTAATCCGTAAAGGAACTGTATTGGCTTATGAAACAAAAGTCCAGGGCTGTTGGCAGTGGATGAACCATTTCCCCAGATACGCAGTTTGTCCCAAGGATCAGACGGTGGCTGCCCGTGCTCTGCTGGAGTCCCATGCTCGCTGGCAGGGGGGCACCCTCCCTCTGTAGTGCAGCTTCTGTCTCAGATGCCCCCAGCAAATAAACTTTGTCATCTCCTCAGTCAGAATTGGCCTGTGCGTTCAGTCATTTTGGCTGGGGTGGGAGGTGTGAATTCCCCAGCAGGGCTGGCTTTTCAGGACTGGGCATGGGGCCGCTTCTCTGGACACGCATGGGCTGCACAGGGAGGGAGGTCCTGGGGGAGAGGCGAGTGAACGGTGGCTGCAAACAGTTTCTGTCCATTGCAGGGGCCATGCATGTCAGAGCAAGATCTACTTGGCGGTAGGGAGGGGGACAGCTGGAGCAGGGAGCCTGGTGGCAGCCAGCTCAGACACAGGGAAGCATTTCTTTTTTACAGAGGTGAGGTTCTCACCATGTAGTAAAGCTGGGCTCAAGCGAGCCTCCCACCTCTGCCTCCCAAAATGCTGGGATTATGGGCATGAGCCACCATGCCTGACCGAGGGCAATGATTTTCTGGGAGCTGCAGCGTGTCAGGCCCTGTGCTGCATGCTTTCAAGGACATTTAAACCTTTGACCAGGACTCATCCCCATTTTTTTTTCTTTTTGAGTCAGGGTCTCACTCTATCACCCAGGCTGGAGTTCACACGGCTCACCACATACTCAGCCTCCCGGGCTCAAATGATCCTTCTGCCTTAGCCTCCCGGAGTAGCTTGGGACTACAGGTGCACACCACCATGACTGGCTAAATTATTTTTTAAAGATCAGGCTTCACCATATTGCCTAGGCTGGGTTCGAACTCCTGTGCTCAAGCAATCCTGCCTCAGCCTCCCAAAGTGCCGGGACTACAGGTGTGAGTCACTGTGCCCAGGCTTACAGGGAAAAAGACCCTAGAGAGGGTTGTTGAGTCCTTGTGCTAGTGCCTCCCAGCCAGAGAATGACAGGCTGCATGCCAGAGATGAGAAGGCAGCTTTCCCGGTATGTGTAGACGGTGTTGCCAGCAAGCTCTGGTGGGCGAGGGCTGTGGAGTGAGGATTGTTCTAAGTCCTTTCTATGCAGAGCTCTTAGTTCATTTCAATTCTGCTGAGAAGCGTGGGCTGAGGCATTATGAGGGGAGACTGGGTACCCTGCATGAAGATGAAGCAGCCATACGCTGCAGGCTCCCGTAACAGGGTCGGGATGCTTACTGCAGGCGCTGCAAGTGTCAGCCCTGAGAAGTGGCGCTAATTCACCCTCTTGAAAGGCCCTGAGACCACCCCCCACCCCTCGGGGTGGGACCTCAGGACAGTCCCTGACCCCCATGGACATAGTGTGATCACGACGACACCAGTAGACAGCAGCATGGGTGAAGGGCCCAGCTGAAGTAGCCTCACGGAGACACAGACCACTTGGTCTGGCAGCTGGGACAACATGCTCGCGGTGCCATTTCCCAGGGGCCCACGGGAGGAAGAGCAGCCTCAGAGGAGAGAGCGGCGTTTGCTTTGGGGGGGGTGCCCGGGCAGCAGAGTCACTGTGCCCATGGTTGGCTGGCACCCTGCATGCGCCCCACGAGGCCTCGCCAGCTCCCAAAGGTCTGCCCTGGCCAGGTGCTCCTAGGAGTAGATGTGGCAGCTGCAGCCAGCCGCCTAAAGCCCTGAAAAGCCCACAGGAGCGACACGACATCCTAGATCGCCACCCCTGTCTTTCTCCAAGGCTCAGCTGGAGCGGCCTCCCGGGGTTCCAGGGCACTTCCCTGCCTGCACAAGCCGGTGGGGCCCCATTGAACGGCTCTGGCGGACCCGTGCCTCGCCCTCCCTCCTCCTCATCCTCCTGCTGCTGTCACCGCTGGCTCCTGCTCAAGCTCCTTTGTGGTTCTACACACACACACACACAGTCGCGCGCGCATGCATACACGTCCCGTCTCTCAAGGCTGATGTATTGTTCTAGGATTCTTCTACATGTGTACAGCAATGTACTAAATCAGCGCTTTCGTAAATACAGCTTTTTCACATATTATGTTTCACATATTATATTTCGCCAGGTATGTTAGACCCAGTCCCACCGCCAGTACTTTGGTGCAGATCCCTGTCATTTCTGGCCTCTAGGTGGGTCCCCTGGCCGGCAGGCTGCTTCTGCACACAGCCAACTCTAAGATGCTCTTTCTAAACTGCAAACCTGACAGTTCCTGTCCCCTGTAAAGCCCCCTTGGGTTGGACACTGGGGGGGGGGTGCAGGGCTAACCGACACTGACACCCTCACTCCGATAATCACTGCAGGGATGTCGTGCTATACCTCTGGGGGACATTGGGCCTGGGGAGGAGACCCGGCAGGAATCGGCCACGCGCCCGAGGGGCTTCACGGGAGGTTTCCAGGGCCGCAGAAGCAGAAGCGGAGCGGGTGCTCTCAGAAGCGGAGCTTCGTGAGGGAGCGCTCACAGGGTAGGCAGGGCAGGCTTCGCGGCACCCGGCCGGGGATGGGTCTGTCGGCGCAGGCGCCCTGCGGGCGAGTTACGAGGGGGTCAGTTTCTGGAGGAAACCTCAGTGTCTCTCCGGCCCACAGGGTCTCGCCGGGCACCCAGCAAGCCGGCTCGGGGGAAGCGAGTACGCGCCTCGCAGCG